TCCGGCTGCGTCCTGTAGTCGCGGGTGCCCGCCAAGTACCGAGACGTCTTCTTCAACCTCCTCAGGTCCTTCTCCGTCGGTCCCGACATGCCCCAGCTTAGAACTCCAACTCCGCGTTGAATGTCGGGGCGGTGACTCGCCGACTGCAGCAACTTCCCCACGCGTGTCCTGTAGCGGCTGTGACCAGCCGCGCCCAGCTTCACCTCGTCGTTCTTCATGTTCACCTCGTCCTTGGTCTCGGGCAACACTGCTGGCTTGGCGTTCTCCAGGCCCAGCTCCTTCAGGAGGTCATCGATCAAGCTCGTCTGCGTAGCCGCCCTCGGTCTTCCCCACCTGCATGCTTAGGAACGTCGCCTGGTTGCCCGTCACCTCCGGCAACTTGTCGACCTAGTCGCGTGGCCCCGTGACCAGGAAGTCGTCGGCATGCCTTCCTGCCTTCAGCTTGTTGCTTAGCTTCATGAAGAGACGCCCGTCGTAGCGACCTCTGACCATCTCCAGCTCCTCCATGGTTGTCGCGCCGCGCCCCCCCAAGCCTTCGGCGCCCCTTCGAGCCCGGGAAATGCGCGCAGAGCTCCCCAGACGTGTCCTTCAGCTTCTGGTGGTGGCTCCAGGAAGACGCGGTCCTCGGTGGGCGGCGCCTGGTAGAAAGCCCCGCTGTAATCTCCGAGCGCCACCGCTTGGTCCTGTATTTCCGCGTTGACCAGCGTCGCCTTCAGGTGTGGGAGCGAAGGGGTCGTGGCCACGGAGCTCTCATGCCCGTGCACCTGCTGTTCGAAGCCCCTCGTGGTCCACCGACTCTTCTTGCTGCCGTCAGCCTGGTTGGTGTCGACCCACTTCCCTGTCGAGACCTTGGACGTCGTCTCGTTGATCGCGATCACCTGCACGATCTGCTTGCCGATCTTCTCCAAGTGCCCCTTCCTTGCCTCTGTGAAGTCGCCCTCCAGCGCATGCTTCTCCTCATTCGCCACCTTCGGCTCCTCGCGCATCTCCCTGACCGCATTGAGCATCTGGATGGTGGCGATCCTGGACTTCTTGCCCTCGCCCCCAACGCCGCCTTCACGTTCTCGCTTGGGCCTCCTCTCCGCCGACGGAATGCCCGCTGGCTGTGGCGGTGTCGCCCTCGGCGTTGACGGACCTGCCTCCTCGTCTCTGGGCCTCTTCGCCTTCGGCCGCCTCTTGTCCACGTCCACGTCGTCGTAGGGTGCTGCCGCTGCTGCTGCTGCGACTGCTGCCGGCTGCTGGGGCACAGGCTGCGGCCCCCCTCCAGCTCCTGCGGCTGCGGCTGCTGCTGGCAGCAGCTGCCCTTGGGACAGGGTACTTCAGCAACGGCCCGAGTAGGATCGGCTCCTGCAGCGACCTCTGTGTCGGTGGTCTTCCTCTCGTTGTTGGCGTCGGCTCCCAGGGCGTCCACTTCGTCTTGTCGAACAGCTCTTTGTCGTGTGATTAAGTGGTTTGATTCAGTGTTTGTTCTTTTTTTTGCGTCGCGCTTTAGTCAGATGTCATTCAGTCGCGAAGGCTCCAGCTTGTTGACCTGTGCTCTTGGCATCTTGCAAATTATTGCTTTGTTGATTGTCACGATCGGCTTCTTGTTCTTGAGCATGTGGTCTTTTCGTAGGGTGTGAGGTCGGTGTCCCCCCTGACCATGCGCCTGTTGTAGAGCCGCGCTGCCTGCCTCGGCAACCGCGCAAGGAACGGGGGGTCGGGCTTGAGGTCGCGGTTCAGCCTTTTGTTGACCTGCATCATCAGCGGCCCCGCCTGCTTCCTCGCCGCCCGCGTGGTTCTCCCGGCCCTGCCATTCGCCTGGCTGTCGTGCCTCTCTGGCTGCCGCACGCGGATGCCTTCCTTGACCGCCCTGGCCCTGGCCGCCGTGGTGAACGAGAACTCTGATGCTCCTCCTGCCTGTAGTTCCACTCGCGCATGTCCGGGTTCAGCTATCCATGGGACTGCTGATGCCGCTGCGTGGGCGTCGTCGCGACCCTTCTGGATGATGGCTGTGCTCCGCGTGCTCCCTGTCGAAGCGTCGCTGCCAATCGAACTCGAAATTGACGGGCGGGGTCCCCTTCGATGCCCGCCTGTCCGTAGTCGAAACTTAGCAAGGGGATCAGCTCGTCGCGCCTGTCCCTCTTCTTGTGGGCCATGTTGTTTGCCTTCGCCTGAACGCAGATCTCGCACTGCGCTTCCGCTGGGTAGCGCGTCAGCTCGTGCCTCTCGATCTCCTCCGCGCTCGGCTCTCGACGTCCAGGTGGACCACTGGCCGTAGTCTCGGGTTCCACTGTCTCCCGATCATCGGGGGCCACCACTGGTCCTTCTGCAGGTGCATCTGCCGTGCGTCCATTGCTCCTCGTGATGCGACCTGCTGCGGCTGCTCTCATGGTGGTGGCGCTCGTGTTCCTCCTGCTATTGCACGTTGAACTGCGTCGCCGTCTACGTCCTCTTTTCCAGGTCGTGCCGCTGCAGCCTCCGCGCTTGCTGGTGCCGGTAGCGTCGCGCCCCTGCGTGCCCCCTCCGTGTCGTCGTGCGCCTTGGTCCAGCATCCCAGCGTCAGCCCTGCCGTCTCATGCTTCAGCAAGCCACCCTTGCCGTCGTGCCGTGCGATTCTGTTCTCCATCCTGCTGCGAGTCTTACCCGCGCTCATGATGGGCTGCTTCACGACCCTGACCTGGGACCCCACGATGACGCGCCCGTCGCCTGCTAACTGGAGCGCCACCGTCTTCGAGCCGTAGTGCCTCAGCGGGGTGCCGTCGGCGACCGTCAGGCTTGGATTCCGTCCAGGCTTGATCTCTACGTTCGGGGGAAGACCCTGAGACCGCGCGCGTGCTCGTCCGCACAATGGTCCGTCAGCATCCAGAACGTGCGCCGCAGTCCGTCTCCCATCATGCTGTGGACCTTCCTCTCCTGCACCTCTGGCGATTTGTGCTTCGCCACTGCGAACATGAAGCCCCCCCATGGCTCCTGTTGGTCGTCCTCCTTCGCCGCCGTCTCCTCCTGGGCTCCACGGTGCCGTCCACTTCTGTTGGTGCCCGTCCTCGTGCACCGTCGCCACCTGTAGGTGCTGGATCGTGGTATTGACCAGCTCGTCGTAGCTCCTCTCGCTCTGCATCTGCAACGCCGTGCGGATGCTCTTCGGCGCCTGCTGCAGGTAGATGCTCTTCTTAACGCCCGCGTTGAACACCTCTCCAGGCGCCGTCTCGTGCCGCCTGGTGCCCCGCTCCCAGTCAGCGTGGTGCTCGAACCCTGGCAAGTCCGATTCTCAACGGCTTCGCGTTGAGAATCGCAGTCGTGATGCTCTGTGCGCGCATGGCCGTCGCGGGTTCGTACCTCTTTGCCAGTGCTCGCCACGCCAGCACGCCGTTCTGGTCCTCCACGCTTCTGATCAGAATCTGCGCGCTGCCCTTCGCAGTCATGACCAGCGGGAAGAACATCTTCTTGGTGGACGAGACTCCTTCTGCGCCAAGCCTGTGCAGCATCTCCGCCGTGCTGATGTCGGGATCACCCCGCTGCTCGGCCGCCTCCAGTAGATTCTGCGCCTGAACTGTCTGGCCGCCCAGGCACGCCCTCACCGTCTAGTGCCCCTCCTGGCCGTCGACCGTCGGCGGCTTGAGTCCTGCGCCGTGCCACTCGGCGCCAGGCTCCGTCATCCCGTCGATCCTGTCGACCGTGCTCTCCTACGGCCCCGCAGGCGTCGATCCTCGCTCGTGAAGGTCACGAAGCCCTCCGTCTGCGCGGTCTCGGCCCTGCTGGCCGTGTCGCGCCTCTCGCCGTGGATCCGTCGCCGAGCTGGTCGGCTGCGGCCGCTCGGGCAATGGCCGGCGCCCTCTGCCGCGGGAAGGGCGCCCAGCGGGAGCTGGCCGAGGCCAGCTCCGCTACCATGGCAACTTTTGTACAACAAAGGCTGCGGAACGGATGGCGTATCAGGCTCTCGTTTAAACGTGTTCAAAACCCGTTCTATCCACGGTTTCCTGCAACATCATGCTCTGCCACTTTCGCACTATGTTGGCTGCAGCCTTCAGTCCGTCGTGTGAAAAGCCCGACAGCCAAGCAATGCCGTCGTGAACATTCGGCGCGCTTGCCTCTTTACGCTCGTTCACTTGTTCACCCGGTGTCCTGGACACTCCTGCTGCCCAAACCTGCCCTTCAGTTAGGGGCTTGTCCCGCCTGCTTCCTCCTGGGGTCCCCCCCTTCGCCCTCGAGTCGTCGCTGGGCTTGTGACAACGCTACCTGCGATCAGCCAGTCTTCGCTGTGGCGAAGCTCCTCCTTGGGGCTCGTACGCACTTCCACGTGGCCCAATGCTGACTGGCCAATCTTGCATTGCAGCACTGGATTTCTGGGACGCCCTTGCCGTGGGCATCGGACACGCGAGTGGCCTGTGGTGCCTTCTGTGCTGCCTCAGACCTCTTTGCTCCTGGTGCTCAGCGGTCGTTTCTCCATTCCCTGGTCCCTTCCTCTTGGCTTGGCTGGCGTACTCCCACTGGGTCTTCGAGCCCCTCCCGTGCCCTCCTTCCGCCGGGCGTGGCCCCGCGCCTGGGTCAGGGGCTCTCGCCCGCAGGCCCTGCTCACGCTGCGCGTCGTGCGTTGCGTGCTGTGCACTGTGACAGGTTGATAATGAGCCTCATGTGGGTCAAGCACCCCCTCCTCCTCCTCCTCCTCCTCCCCTCCTCCCTCCCTCCTCCTCCCTCCTCCTCCCTCCTCCTCTCCTCCCTCCTCCTCCTCCTCCTCCCCTCTTCCCTCCTGACCCTCCTACTCCTCCCTCCTGACCCTCGTCTCCTCCTCCTCTTCCTCCTCCGCCTCCTGATCCTCGCACTCGCACTCCTCCTCCCCCTCTTCCCTCCCCCCTTCCCTCCTCCTCCTCCTCCTCCTCCTCCTCCTCCTCCTCCCTCTCCTCCTCCCTCTCTCCTCCTCCCTTCTCCTCCTCCCCCTCCCCCTCCTCCTCCTCCTCCTCCTTCCACTCCTGACCCTCCTCCTCCTCTTCGCACTCGCCCCCGTGCAGCTCTTCGCCCGCCGAGTCTCCACGAGGTGGAGCAGCGCCTGCTGGTCTCGGTCGACGCCGTCCGCGGCCCGCCTGGCGTCCTCCTCGGAGGCAGGGCGGGGGGGCGAGTTCGGCTCCGTGCCCAAGGGCAGCATGAAGATGCTAAGGCCACCTCAGTGATGGAGTCGATAGAGGACGACTCCCAGATGGTGTCGGAGCATATGGGCTCGGAGGATCACGCCGCGTCGCCGAGGGGACGTCGGCGATGCATCGGCGACGCTGGCGTGGAGAAAATCGGTCTCCACATCGAGCCGCATCGCAAATGCATCGGCGATGCGGCGCGATCCTCCGACCCCATCTACCGGGAACCCATCTTGGAGGCCTAAAATAATTGAATATATTGCTTTCTTTCCTCGTCACCCTCTACACTGCGTCAGACTCGACCGAAACATGCGTTCGGTGATGCTCGCACGTGGCCAAAAAATGCAAAATGCGCGTGTCACGCGTTCGCTGATTCACGCACATACAATCATGCCACCACGTCAGACTCGACCGTGTCCCGCGTTCGCTGATGCACTCACATACGTTCATGCCGCCAACTCAGACTCGACCGTGCCACTTGTTCGCGCATGCTGGCACGTGGCCTAGAGGATGCGCGTGTTACGCGTTCGATGATGGACGCGCATAGAAGCACGCCACCACGCCAAACTTAAAAACACCACGCGTTCGCTGGTGCTCGCAAATGGCCTGAAACATGTGAGTGTGCCACGCGTTCGCTGATGCCACCACGTCAGACTTGACCGTGTCATGCGTTCGCTGATACACCCACGTTCACTCATGTCACCAACGCAGACTCGACCGTGTGACGCGTTCGCGCATGCTTGGACGTGGCCTGAAGGATGCGCGTGCCACGCGTTCGATGATGGACGCGCATAGAACCATGCCACCACGTCAAACTCAAACGCTGGCACTCAAATCTTATTGTGGATTTCAATTGCGCGGGCGCGCCGTGTTCATGTCGTCGAGATCGCTCCATGTTCATTATCAAAACGTACCCGGTAACCTCCTAACTGGGGTCGCGCCAAATTCATATTAGTTTCTTTCAGCCCCCCGGCAGGATTCGCCCGACTCCGAAGGTGAACGAGGGCTGCAGATGTTGCCCCTGAAAGAAAAACAATACCTTTTGCCTCTTCCTCCTCATTCACCCTTTCCCCGTGATCCCTCCCCCCTCCTCCTCCGCCTCTTTCTCATCTTCTTCCACTATCCTCTTTCAGCTCCCAATTATACTGCTCCTCGTCCTGCTCCTGCTCCGCCCCTTCGTCTTCCTGCCCACCCTCCGTCCTCCAGACACCGAAGTCCGACGGCTGGCCAGCATCGCATTCTGGGCCGCTAGTGATACCATGCTGATAATGATGGTGGTGCTGGGGAGGAGGCATTTAAGAGGAGGGCGAGGAGGATGAGGAGGAAGAGGAGGACGAGGACCACTAGAAGGATGACTGGGAGGAGAAGGACGAGGAGGGAGGAGGGAAGGGACAGGAGGAGGCAGATGAGGAGGGAGGACGGGGGAGGAGCAGCAGCGGGGGGAGATCGAGCACGAGGGTCTTGAATGGAGAAACGAAAAGGCACCGATACGGCTACTCCTCAGACCTCTCCCTGGGTGCGTTCTGACCAGATTTTCAAGGAGAATCCAGAGGTGGCGACGAGGACTTTCCAGGACGAGCAGCGGCATCGGTACCTTTGCCTCCTCTGAGGGTGGGGGGGAGGAGCAGCGGAGGAAAGCTGAGCGCGAGGGTCTTGATCAGGACGGAGGACGAACTGGTGCGGCGGGGCGGGGTACGCCCCGACAAAAAGAAAAACACAAGCATCCGCCAACAAGCGCTCCCTGTGCCGTCAAGGGAGGGTGGCGGTGTACAACATCGCTGCCTCGTGGCGGCGATTTCCCGCACCGCGACGCTCCCGAGGAGGCCCGGGAGCAATCCGCCCGAGGGCGGCTGCGTAAGCGCACCGTAGTCTGCGGTGGTGAGGGCGGGCGGGAGGCCCGTGCTGCTCGGGGGCGCGCCAACATGGATCAGCGATCCATGGAGCTGGCGCGCGGTCGCCGCATCCGGGCCGGGCGAAAGGGGAGGATAGCACAAAAGGGGTTTGAGAATCAGCTCACGCAGCTGATTTTCCCGGCACCTCCCGGCGCCGGAGGCGGCTCTGTATCGAGGGATGGGCCCCTCGGTGGGGCCGAAACCGGCTGCATGCAGCAGATTTCGTAGCCCCCCTTTCCCAATCCCCCCTTTCGTCCGGCCCGACACATCCATGCATCGGGGGAGGCGCCCTCCCCCAAACTGCGGCCGGTGCCGCCTCGCTCGGCGGCGGGAGTCCGTGAGCTCCCCTGGAAGCGGGACGTGTCGCTGCTCCACGCCCCCCTATCGGGCGTTGCTAGAAGTGCCCCTGGCCCAGAGCGCCCCTGGCCCAGAGTGCCCCGAGGATCCTGGGGGTACCTTGGGCCAGGGGACCTTCTAGCAACACCCGACTTGCTAAAATCCGTGCTCGCGATCGCCTGGATAGAGCCTGCGGCGGCGAGGGCGGGGGTCAGAGTCCCGAATCATCCGGGGTAACTCGGGTCAGGGTTAACTCGGGTTCGTTTTTCGGGAATCCGAGCCCGAGTTACCCCGGAGCCGAGTTACCCCGGATAACTCGGGCGCCCAGAGCCCCACATCATCAGGGGTAACTCGGGCCAGGGCTAACTCGGGCTCCCTTTTCGGGAATCCGAGCCCGAGTTACCCCGGACCCGAGTTACCCCGGATAACTCGGGCGCCCAACCCAGACCCCCGACGTCATGAATTTTTCATGACGTCGACCCCCAACGGTCTGGACCAATTCCCTGGGACCGGTTTTTCGTCTTGAGTCGTTTTTTGACGGTCCCGAGGGCCGGTAAGGGCCCCCAGAGGCGGAAAATAGCGAAAAACCTCCTGTCGTGATTTTTTCATGACTCGAGGAGGTCTGGGAAGGGGGGGGAAGGCCCCTGCCCGGTCTCCGCCAGGAAGCGCAGCGTCTGCGCCGCGTCGCCCGGGCTCTCGCGGACCGTCGCCGCGGCGGCGGCGCCGCGGGCGCCCCCGCCGGAGAGCCAGCTCGCCCACTGCGCGACCTGCTCCAGGTCCTCCCCCCCGGCCGGGCAGCCAGGCCGGGGTGCCGCGGGCGGCTCCATGCAAGGAGGAGGGGGGGCAGAAAGCAGGAGGTCCTATCGACGTAGTGTGTCCTGGATTTCTTCACGCGGCTCCGAGGAGGAGGGGGAGCAGAAGGCAGGAGGCCCTATCGACGTAGTGTGTCTTGGATTTCTTCACGCGGCTCCGAGGAGGAGGGGGAGCAGAAGGCAGGAGGTCCTGTCGACGTAGGGTGTCTTGGATTTCCTCATGGCTGCCCGCTCTCGTCTTGAGGGCCACCGGCGGGCACCTGGAAACGATACAAAAACGGGAGCGAGAAACTATTGAAGCACATGCTTTTGAACGAGAGCTGGAAGCTAGGACAAAAACGCCCAGGGCGCTTCCAAGACACACGAAGCTCAGGTCGGGCACGTCCCCCCAAAGGCGGACTTTGGGACGAAAAGTTAAAAGAGTATTCAAACATGCTCAGACATAGTCAAACAAAAAACCAACAAATCGTCCCCAGACTATCCCAAAGTCAGAATTTAATGAACAAAAAATTAAAATAAAAAAGCAAATCACAAGTTTGGATTTTAGTCAACAAATAAGCAAAACATCGTCCCCATAATATCCTGTGACTATCTTGGAATACGCCTCCTGTAGAGGGACATGCCCGACTGAACACTGAGCCCATCGAGGTGCCCCCGCGCGGCTGGGCGAGCCTCCGTGGGGGAGCAGCTGGGAAGCTCCGCGGCCCTGCCTTCGACGTGACTCCCTGGCCATCGCTCGGACGTCCATTCCCCGTGCTTTTTCTTGGCTTCGTGCGTGGCTTTTCCGCGCCAAGTGACCGAGGAAAAGTCGTTCGTTTTTTGTTTTTTTTCGCCGAATGGTTTCGTCGTGCTTTTTTTGGGTTTCGTGCGTGGATGCTCCTCGAGGGTCCTCGCCGGAGGAAAAAGTGCACACGTCCGAGCGATGCCAAGGACTTCGACCGGGCGTCGTGCAGATTTCGACCACCCCTCTTCCCCCTGTCGTCCAGATTTCGTCCAGATGTCGTCCAAATCCAACGAAATGCGAACGAAACGCACAAAACAGCAAGGAATTCTGGGACCCTCTGAGGCTCCCATGGACCACACAAGCGCGGGGCAGAACCTGCAATGAGGTCTCGAGTGTCGACCTTGGCATCCGAAACCCAATTTGCGAACCCGTCCCGGCGTTGCTGCCAAGCCTCCTCCAATGGCATCGCCTTCCACGCCGATTGCTCAGAGGGTGATTGGCGCTGGAGGGTTGATTGCAGGACTCAACCGCGTAGGTGCAATAGTCGTAGTAGTGGTAGTGGCAATGATAACAATACCCGTGGATATACCAATTCAATTGAAACGTGGCCACGACAACGAAGGTCAAGAGCACGAGCCCTTTCGACGAAGGCCCACGGCCCCCTGGAGATCCCCCAGACCCACCGAAACCGCCCTCGGCCCCCATCCAGGGAGGGGAGGGGGGAACTGGAGGGAAACTGGAGAGGGGAGCTGGAAAGGGGGGGAGGTGGAGGGGGGGAGGGAGCCGGAGGGGGGAGTTGGAGGGGAGCCGGGAAGGGGGGGGGAGTTGGAGGGGAGCTGCAGGGGGGAGTTGGAAGGGGGGAGTTGGAGGGGGGAGGGAAACTGGAGAGGGGAGCCAGAGGGAAACTGGAGAGGGGGGCCGGAGGGAAACGGAGCGGCTGGCTGGGGGCCCCCGCGCCGCACCTGGCAGCCCCCTCCCACTCGGGGGGGGGTTCCAAGCAGCTGCAGTGAAGCGAGCCAAGGAGGAAGGGGAGGAGGTAGAGGCTCAATTTATGTTCAGCGCGAGTGCGGGTGGTGGAGAGCACCACGAGGAGGACGAGGAAGCGGAGCTCCATCAGCCGTCACCCGAAGGGGGGTAGCCTCGGCTGGTCTCGCCCTGCAGCTCCAGACCCCTCCCGCCGAGGTCTTCCCATTGCGCATCTGTCTTCTCTTTCCGCCGGCGGGCGTCGGATCGGACCCGGAGCCCCCCAAGGGTCCGCATCGTGTTCTGCGCAGTCAGAGAAGAGCGAGATGATGCACAGGAGGAAGAGGAGATGAGCATCAGAAGGGAGGAGGACAGGGAGGAGCAGCAGCAGCAGGAGCGGGGGAGCAGGAGGAGCGGGAGGAGCGGGAGGAAGAGGGGATGAGGACCAGAAGGGAGGAGGACAGGGAGGAGCAGCAGCAGCAGGAGCGGGAGCAGGAGGAGCGGGAGGAGCGGGAGGAAGAGGGGAGGAGGATCGGAAGGGAGGAGGACAGGGAGGAGCAGCAGCAGCAGGAGCGGGAGCGGGAGCAGGAGGAGCGGGAGGGGCATCGATGCCCACGGGGAGGGCGGAGGAGGGGGCAAAGGAGCGGGGCGACAGCGACGAGGATGGACCGCGCGTCGATCCCTATGCTATGCTATGCTATGCTATGCTGCGCTATGCTATGCTATGCTGGGCTATGTTATGATATGCTGTGCTGCGCTATGCTATGCTACGCTACGCTATGCTGTGCTCTGCTATGCTAAAGCTCAGCGAAGCTAAGAGGAAGGTCAGCTAAGCCAAGATACACCTGAGCCAAGACGAAGCTAAGCTGAGCTAAGATGAAACAAGCTAAGCTAAGATGAGATAAGCAACGCTAAGCTAAGGGGCCGTAACCGGGGGAACCGCGGGGCGGATACTGGGGGAACCGCCCGGGGCGCTTTCCACTGCCCGGCCCCTTTGAGCCCAGAGAGCAAGAACCCTTCTACACCTTGCGAAATGCTTAAGAAATCATGGGTTAAGAAATTCAGAGTCTCAGAAATTGAATAAAACCCAGAACTTCTGTCAAAATCTGGGGATTTACATTGAAAACTTAAGAATAATCGAGACTCTGGCCGAAGACTTAGGTTTTCTTAAGCATCGCCTGGGGTGTAGGCAGAGGCTAGGTAGGGAAAAAAGCAGCCGGGGAACCCTGCACGCGACAGCACGACATGCTGTCGCGGAAAAGGGGCCCCGCTCGGACAGGATCCGGGGGGAGGCGGGAGGCCCGTGCCTCGCCATCGCTGGGACGTCCATGCCCCGCGCGTGTTCTTCGATTCGGTGCGTGCTCTCTCGGCACGGCGATCCCGAGGAGGAGGAGGAGGAGGAGGAGGAGGAGGAGGAGGAGGAGGAGGAGGAGGAGGAGGAGGAGTAGGAGTAGGAGTAGGAGGAGGAGGAGGAGGAGGAGGAGGAGGAGGAGATTCGATTTGGATGCTCCTCGACGGTCCCCGCCGAGAGAAAAAAACGAGCTCGTCCGAGCGACGCCCAGGCCTCATGTGGAGTGACTGTGGAGCTGGGGAGGGGGGGGGGGGGGGAGAGGGGGGAGGCGGGGGGGGGGGGCAGGGAAGAAGGGGGGGAGGGGTGGGAGAGGAGGGAAGGGAAGCAACGAGAGCTGGGGGCGGAAGAGCTGAGGGTGGGAAGGGGGGGCGGCAGGGAGCGCGGCGAGGGCGAGGTGAGCGAGGGTGGAGGGACAAGCTCGGTGCGCTGGCACCATCCCTTCGCATTTCGTCGAATCCGTCCTATCCGCCGGCCTGGGTGTCCTTAGGGGGGCTTGCTGCCCAAACTGCGGCTGCAAAATTTGACAGATCGTTCGCTGCGCAATCCGTAAAACAAGGGGGCTGTGGTACCTGGGATGACGAGGAGGATGAGCAGGAGGCGGAGGAGGGGAGGATCAGGAGGGAGGAGGAGGAGGAGGAGGAGGAGGAAGAGGAGGAGGAGGAAGAGGAGTAGAAGGGGGCGGAGGACGAGAATGGGGAGGAGGAGGAGGAGGAGGAGGAGGAGGAGGAGGAGGAGGAGGAGGAGGAGGAGGAGGAGGAGGAGGGCGTCGGGAGGGGGAGGCGGAGGAGGCGGAGGAGGAGGAGGAGGAGGATGATCAGGAGCAGCAGGAGCAGGACGAGGAGTAGCAGAAGGAGAAGAAGGAGCAGGAGGGTTAAGGTGAAGTTCGGACGTGGAAAAAGCAGTGGATCAGAAACGGCGAACAACACATCGAATGCAGAAGTGTGGTCCCGCGCTGGGACCAGAGCGCCATTGTGAACGACGGGAGCGGAGTGCCGGTCCTGACATGTGGCCAAGTTCCGGGCCAACGCAACAGCGGGAGCGGAAACCATCTGCATGCAACACCTTTCGTAGAACACTCTTTCCCTATCCCCCCTTTTCCCTGCCCCCCCTTTCTCTATCCCCACCTGTTGTTCGAACAACGCTGGAATTGCCGCCGTATTGACGCAACACGGACTTGCCGTATGATGGATTTGAGAGGGAGAGTGAGAAAGATAGAGAGAAAGAGAGAGAGAGAGAGGGAGAGGGAGAGGGAGAGAGAGAGAGAGAGGGAAAGCGAGAAAGAAAAAGAATAATACGAAAAAGAGCGAGAACACATTAGCCTGGCGACGGACCTAACCAAATGCAGTTGTGAATACCGTCGTTGTTAGTGTCGCCTTCGGTGGATCTGCTTATGGGGCCACGAAGCGTGTGAAGAGTGTGCCGAAATGGGGCAGGGCGGAGCTCCCTGTGGGGCCACGAAGCGTGTGATGGGTGTGCCAAAATGGGGCGGCGCCGCCATGCGGACTGTGCCACTGGGGCCTTCGGTGGAGCTCCCTGTGGGACCACGGAACGTGTGAGTTGTGTGCAAAAATGGAGCGGCGCCGCCATGCGGACTGCGCCACTCGGACCTTAGGTGGAGCTCCCTGTGTGGCCACGAGACGTGTGAGGGGTGTGCCAAAATGGGGAGGCGCCGCCATGCGGACTGCGCCATTGGGACCTTCGGTGGAGCTCCCTATGGGGTCTCGGAGCGTGTGAGGGGTGTGCCAAAATGGGGCGGCGCCGCCGTGCAGACTGCGACCCTGTGACCTTAGGTGGAACTCCCTACGGGGCCACCGAGCGTGTGAGGGGTGTGCCGAAATGAGGCGGGGCCGCCGTGCAGACTGCGACCCTGGGACCTTAGGTGGAGCTCCCTACTGGGCCTCGGAGCGTGTGAGGGGTGTGCCAAATGGGGCGGCGCCGCCGTGCGGACTGCGACCCTGACCTTAGGTGGAGCTCCCCATGGGGCCACGAGACGTGATGGGTGTGCCAAAATGGGGCGGCGCCGCCATGCGGACTGCGCCCCTGTGACCTTAGGTGGAGCTCCTCATGTGGCCACGAGACGTGTGAGGGGTGTGCCAAAATGGGGCGCCGCTGCCATGCGGACTGCGCCACGTTGGAGGGGGCAGCGGGAGGAGTGACGCGGGGCGCTGTCTGTTCAGAACGAGCACCCAACACCACAAGTTGGTCGGCAATTCTCGGCATGGCTCGTCCCATCGCTCCGACGAAGGCGGCGTCCTGCGGGTCTGGGCCGAACCACCCGGCGACGCTGCCGTTCAGGCCGATGCCCGCCGACGCGGACGCCGCCGCCGGCCCTGCGGATCCTCCGGGGCGGCGCGCAGGAGGGGGGCACGGTGAGGCCGAGCCGGATCGAATCGTGGAGTCGGATCGGCTCGGGAACGATGACGACGACGATGACGAAGCCAGAAACGCCGCTACGAAAGGGCATGCGTAGCCATGTGAGTTCGGAGAGTCTGCGCACCCAGGTCTGCAGCCCGGCTTCGCCACAGCGTTGGGCGAGCCCGATACCAACGTCGCGAAGTCAAATCCAACCCAGTACTCAAACATTGGCGCAACCTACAAGGAAGTGAACCGAATTGATGATGGTGAACTGGCGGCTGCTACAACCGAACCGCCCGAACCGGGGCCCAAACTGGACCCGCTAAGACTGGACCGGCCAGTTCGCACTGAAGCAGCTGGCCGAAACCAGCCCGAACGGCCAACCCGAATCGGGTGGAACCGAACCCAAACCGAGCCGACCGAAACTGCACCGGCGCCGCAACCGAACCGCTGTAACCGAACCGGTGCGCCGCCGACTCGTGAGAAGAGGGCAGGAGGAAGACTTCTCAGGAGAATCCTGGACTGCTTCTTAGAAGGCGCTAGGCTTGCCTCTGTAGAAACATACGTATTATCATAATTCTCATTCTTCGTGCGTTTATTCTGATTGCTCTTTTGGGTACCAATATCATTACAATTTTCACCATCATTCTTAATATAAATAGTCTTTGTATTTGTATTAATCCTAGTCGTCGTATTATCCGTATTATTATTTGTTGAATGCTATCATTCGTGCTATCATTACATCAATATGAACCGTTTTCACAGTCTCGTTACGCTGTGTCTCTAAATGATGTGTCTATATGTGTGTATAGCTATGTGTACGCCTACATACATACATGCATAACAATATACATATGTAGAAGGCCCCCGCCTTCTAGAAAAACACTGGCAACGAGCGTCGTCATCGTCATCAAAGATCGGCACGGGCACGCGGGCATTTCGTGTCGAAACCGGATCGCCGCGCCCCAGCCGATGCCCGCGCACTGGGCTGGGTCGAACTGGATCGGAATGGCGGCCTGGTCTGGCGAATCAACTCGCAGTGGAACGGATCGTCGGCGACCCGGGCAAGGCGAGGGGGTCTCGACCTGCTGGATCCGAACGGGGCAACTGTGCGGGCCCACGTCCTCCCCCCCGTTTCTTTCCGCTTTCTCATATGGATCGGCTTCGTCTCTCGCTGGAGGGATGCATCAGCACGTGCAACTGTCCTACGCTGATGGGCCCCCCAGAGACAAAAAATCGGACCATGACACATCGGGGATCTATGAGATCTGGCGCTTCTGGAGGACACATCGGGCGCCGCAACTTTCCCAGGGCGTCCTGGAACGCGCTGGGAGCTTTCCAGCACGCTTTGGATCGACTGCTCCCTGTCCTGGCCCCGCCCAGACTCAAGAGGCAGGGGGCTGTTCGGAAGAGATCGGAGGCGCTCTCGCGAAGGGGCCCTGGGACACACAAATAAATACACACAAATATAAATATATTCCCAATATTTTCCCATATTTTGTGGGTTTCTGTCTTCCCCCCCACTTCCCATATTTTCGCATGTTTGCTTGGGGATCGACGATGAATTGTGTCCGTGTGTTTCCTTTCCTCCTGAGTCTTGGAGAGCCGGACGGCTTCGAAGACCCCCCCCGTTCTGGGGGGAGCCACGCCCCGCACGCCACCCCGCTTCCGTGCGCCACTCTTTTCTCTTAGGCGAGCCGCCAGGCGCGAGCGCGAAGCGTTGGTCTGCCTGCAACGCGGGCGAAGGGGACGCCGCGGACGAGTCTCTTTTGGGGGGGCAGGCTGCCAACTGCTCCTGCTCGCAAATACCGATCCTGTTGTTCCTCCTCCTCCTCCTCCTCCTCCTCCTCTCGTCCTCCTCCTCCTCCTCCTCCTCCTCCGCCTCCTCCTCCTCCTCCTCCTCCTCTCGTCCTCCTCTTTCTTCTCCTCCCTCTCCTTATAAATGGGTCCTCCCTGTCCCACCCGGGGTGGGGTTAGGCGTTTCGCCGGAGACTTCCTCACCGTAAATGATCCTGAGGCTTGAAACTTACAGTAGCTTCATGAATGGACGGCGGGCCTGTTTCAAACTGTGGCTCTCGCCATAGCGATGCGCACATTTGCCTTGAACATTCGCACCCGTTTCAAGGATGGAGGGCGTGTCGTTGTCAGAATATGGCTCTCGCCTTAGCGCCACGCGCATCCGCATTCAAAGTTTGCAGCCGATTCAAGGATGGAAGGCGGGCCGTTTTCAACATGTGGATCTTGCCTCAACCAATCATTTCAAAACGTGGCTTCAGAGTTCGCAGCAGTTTGAATGGTTTGTATGGTTGGAGTCCCAGGAGCGGTGTCTGACATGGCTTAGGATATTCAGGGCATAACAGTACCACTTGCTCTCGGTGTTGAAGTCCCAAGAATGTTTTTCTCGACCAAAGCAGGATTGCCAAGACGCACCAGTCAGTGTGATTCGCGGCGTGAAGTCCCGGGATTGTGTTTTGGCACGGAACGGGATTCTCAGACGGCTGTTTTCCGATGAGGCACTTCCCACAATGAAAATAACGTCGTGCAGGGACCTGTGAAAAGAGAACTTGGAGGGAGGGTTTCTCGCATTGTCTTTGATGCGTCTTGCGTTTACACTGGTCCTCATCCTCTCCCTTGTCCTGGTCATCATCTCATTCGCCACACTCCTCCCGCTCCTCGTCCTCGTCCTCGTCCTCGTCCTCGTCCTCGTCCTCCTCCTCCTTCTTCTTCTTCTCCTCCTCCTCCTCCTCCCTCCTCCTCCTCCTCCTCCTCCCTCCTCCCTCCTCCTCCCTCCTCCCTCCTCCTCCTTCGGCCTCGTCCTCGCTCTCCCGCTCCTGCTCCCAAAATTCCTGCTCTCAGCGCCCCTCTAACGGGGACTCCACTAACGGGTACTTTGGCCCGTGGCCCAGCGAACCCAACCCTCGTCGATGTGGGCAACGCTGCAATGCCAGAAAGAGGCCCTAAAGCGGCAACTTTCGGCACATCTCCAAAGTACCCGTTAGTGAGTACCCGTTACGGTGCCGCTGATGCTCCTGCGCATCCCGCTGCCCGGAAAGGAGGAACGAGGACGAGGAGACTGGGGGGAGGAGGGGGGGGGATAGCAGGGAGCCTTGCTCAACCGATCCCTATCCCAACTGGCGTGGCCTGAGCCCCCGCTGGTCGGTTTGCCCCCCCCCTGGACGGGGATGTGGGCTGTTTCCTTTCGGATTTTGAGGGGCATATCCCCAACTGGGGCGGTGGGATGGCGGGGCTCGGGATGGGGATGGGAGTAGGGATGGGTTGAACGAGGCTAATCGGAGGCAGCCCACAAACGACGTACGCGCCCAACCACGTGCATAAATGCGGCCCCCCAATCCGCGAGACCAACCTCGCAACACGAACGTTCGCGCCGAGCGCACTTTCGAAACGTGGATTTATGTACGTGTACGTCCTTCTTTCGCTCCTGAAGTACAGCCGGACCTAGGACAAAAGTGCATCCTTCAAGAACACGAGACCCTACGCCGGCCGAAATACACAGAACATCCGAGGGTACCATCCCCCAGGATGCACAATAACATCCCAACACACACGAACAACGTTAGGGTACCCTCCCCGAGCCGACCTCGATCTTGTACCTCGGTCTTGCTGTAGGACAGGAGCGTCGACATGGAAGAGGGCAAGAAGTGCGAGGAGGAGCAGAAGGACCTGGAGCAGAGGCACGAGGAGGACAGTACATCATAGAGGAGGGCGAGGAGGAGGCTGAAAACGACTAGGGACGAGGGATGGGGGCAGAGGGAGGGAGAGGAGCGAGGAGGTAAGGAGCGGGAGGAACGAGGGAAGCACGAGGGAAGCAGGAGGAGGAGGAGGAGGAGGAGGAGGAGGAGGAGGAGGAGGAGGAGGAGGAGGAGGAGGAGGAGGAGGAGGAGGAGGACTCGAGGACCTTGACAGTGACGGCCGGGACGACGAGGAAGGACGAGGAAGGGAACGGTGAGGTCGACGAGGATCGAGCAGGAGGTCCCGCGCCTGCTGCCGGGTCGCCGCTCTCACCGGGCGGCCCCTCCGCGCCGCCCTCGCCGTCCAGGAGGCTGGAGCGAGCCAGGAAGCTGCTGCTCGCGGGGGGGCGGCCCGGGGCATGGGGGCCTGACCAATCCCAGGGCTCGAGCTGTACGAAGAGCCTCGGAAACGATTTCTCAAGATCGAAAGCGACGACGCCGATTCGGGGGTCCCACCCTTCGCTCGAGCCTCAAATCGCTGAAAAGCCACGGGTGAGCAAAAGATCTTGGCACGTCGGGGGCATCCTTGGGAGGCTGTTGGACTCAGATGGCTCCGAGGGTGGCCTCAGATGACTCAAGCAGGGCTCGAGTTGAGCAATGTTGTTCACTTTCGTGTTGTTTTCGTTTTCCTTCGTTCCGTCTTCACTCTATCTCTGCTGCGAAGCGACATCAGAACGAAAACGGCCCACGACATCGCCCAAACACCATTTCGCTCTAGCCCTGACCCATCGTTTTTCCACATCCTCCACCGCGCCTGTGCGATGCGGAGTGTTAGAATGGCGTTTGGAACTTGCCTGGTGAGGTGACTCCAAGACGCACCAGAACCGCTCAAAGATGGCCCGACGAGCCCCCTAATGGGCCAAGATGCCCCTCAAGGGGCCTCAAGAGATCCTGTGAAGCCCCCATCAAACGCCCATGGAGGCCTCCAGCGAAGCCCTGGAGGCTTAAAATAGTGGAGCCGCGGGACCGTCAGAAGTGGACTCAGGATGAAGAGCTGGTCCAGGGGAACGGGTCGAGACCTCCCGGGGTCCACTTTGTGACAGAAATGACGACGTCGGGGGTCTGGGAGCTTCTCCTCCTCCTCCTCCTCCTCCTCCTCCTCCTCCTCCTCCTCCGTTTTGCGGCTCCATGCCGCCTCGGGGAGTCTAGAAAGGGCCTCTCGAAGCGCCGAGGCGGTCCCACCTGAGCCGAAGCAGGCCCCGAGGCGGGCCCGAGACTGCCTCAGAACACTTCTGGGTCGCAGCGCCAGGTCGGGCATGTCCGTCTACAGGTGGATTTTGGAAGAAAACTAAGCAATGGTCAACGGAAAGAAGAAGCAAAAATAGCCAAAGGAGCACGAACATTCGTCACCAGACTATTTTTCTACTATTCTTGAACATTCCTCCTGTACAATAGGGGCTCGACCACGAGAAACCTTCCAGAAGAAACCCGGCCCCGTGACCCCAGGGCGTCCACGGATTTCTGGCGTGGCAGCGTCACGGCCTCCGTCGCAGAACCATCGCAGCCCAAGAAACCCGGGGCACCCTGGAGGCACGCAGGGTCTTTCTCTCGGCATGGGCCCCCGCCGCAGAGGGCCACGCCCGACCTGCACCGCAGCGGTGCGGCCTCCGCGGCTTCGGTCGGAGAGCCGGAGGCGGGGAAGAAGCCGCGGGCGGCCGAGCACGCTCACAGCGTGCAGTTCTTGCGCGTGCGCGCCAGAGCACAGGCTTGCACGGCAGGTTCTCGTCGTCGTCGTCGTCGTCGTCGTCGTCGTCGTCGTCGTTGGCGTCGTTGGCGGCGTCGGCGTCGGCGTCGGCGGCGTCGTCGCCTCCACACCAGCCGCGCCCTCTGGCGTTGTAGCCGCCCGGGAACGCTGCAAGGCTGCCAAGGACGTCCCCGAGAGGGCTCCAACGATGGCCCCGAGACCCGCCCAGGCGGTCACGAGATGGCGCAGCCAGCTATGCGGTCTGGATGGCTGGCTCGATGTGGAGACATCGCTCCCAGGATGGGCCCAGGATTCCTGACGGGCCCCGAACCGGCCCAAAACTCCCACAGGGCTCCGAGATGCCCCAGAGAGGCCCGAAGAAGCCTTGCAGCCTACCTTCAAGTGGGTGGAAGGGAAAGAGAGAGAGAGAGAGAGAGATGGAGAGAGGCTGGGGACAACAAGGGAGTGTTTGAGACAAGGTTCAGTTCAAACAGGGCACTCACATGGACCGGGTCTTAAACCCAACCTCCTTCCCGCTGCGCTGCCGAGCTGGCGTGGTCGTGGGGCTTGCCGCAGGCATGCACGACTTCCAACAAGTGTGGCTCTCGCCTCAGCGCCAGGCGCGTTCGTCTTAACAGCTTGCAAGACGGTGGGAGCGGGAAGGTATCTTACAATATCGGTGCGTAATCATGGGGTTTGATCGGGTCCTTCATGTATCCCTCCTCCTCTGATGTCGTCCTCATCCTCATCCTGGTCCTGTCCCACCTCTCTCTCCTCCTCCTCCGCCTCCTCCTCCTCCTCCTCCTCCTCCTCCTCCTCCTCCCCCTCCTCTTAGACTTGATGGTCCTCTCAATAATCGTAATCTCCTTCTCCATCTCCTCATCCCAACCTCCTCCACAACCACGCGCTATGAATACGACTCCACCCTCTCCCCTGGCAGTGTCCAACGGGAGGCCCGCCTCTCTTTGGTATTGATCGTACACAGGATCGCAAAAGCTGGAACATCATGCGTGATAGTGCTTCAATCGGCATGCTTGCGCTCCTTCCATCGGAGCGCCTGCGTACGGCTGCATCTCTGGCCTCATTCTTGCAAGGGTGCCCTGCTCCAGTCGTTCGGCATGACACTCCTGCTCCAGCGCATGCCGCACTTCCAAGTCGTGATCGTTCCTTTCTTTTCCTCCTTTGCCTCCACCTGCTGCTGCTGCTGCTGCTGCTGCTGCTGCTGCTCCTCCTTCGCCTCCTTCATTCTTTCTCCTTATACATACCTTCTCCCTGTCGCACCCCGAGGCAATTTTTTAGGGCGTGCCGGGCGTTTCGCCTGAGACTTCCTCACCATTTATGACCCTGAAGCTTGAACATTGGTGGCAACAGTTTCACAGATGGAGGGCGGGTGGTTTTCAAAATGTGGCTCTCGCCTGCATGCCGCGCACATTTTATGTAACACTTGCAAGAATTTCACGGATTGAGGGCGGGTGGTTTTCAAAATGTGGCTCTCGCCTTAGCGCCGCGCACATTCGTGTTCAAAGTTTGCAAGAATTTCACGGATTGAGGGCGGGTGGTTTTCAAAATGTGGCTCTCGCCTTAGTGCCGCGCACATTTGTTGCAAACATCTGCAAGAATGTCACGGGTTGAGGGCGGGTGGTTTTCAAACTGTGGCTCTCGCTTTAGTGCCGCGCACATTTGTTTTAAACAATTGCAACAGTTTCACGGATTGAAGGCGAGTGGCTTTCAACATGTGGCTCTCGCCTTGGCGCCGCGCACATTCGTTTTAAACATTTGCAAGAGTTTCACGGATTGAGGGCGGTTCCTTTTTCAAAATGTGGCTCTCGCCTGAGCGCCACGCACATTCGTTTCAACTAATTGCAAGAATTTCACGGGTTCCCATGGTCAGCGTACCGAAAACAATGTTCGGAAGGATTCGGCACTATGAGGGGGCAACAATTACTTTGATTCGCCGTGTCGAAATCCAAGAAATGGCGTTATGGCACGATTCAGGATCGTCAAGACGCAACACTCAGGCTGATCCGTGGCGTTGGAATCCCGAGAACAATGGTTTGGCATGCTTCTGGGTCTTCAAACGGTTGTCTTCCAACGAAGCAGTTCCCTCAGTGGGCATGAACCCTTGTAGGGACCTATGAAGAGATTGCGACATCGGTGCTGATTCTTGGGTTTGCACTGGTCCTCCTCCTCCTCGTCCTCGTCGTCGTCGTCCTCCTCCTCCTCCTCCTCCTCCATCGCCAGTGTACGACAGGACCCCTCGCTGATCGAGCAGCCAACGATAGGATGGGTGAAACCCGCGACCGCCATGGGGAAATCTAGGTCTTCTAGGACAATCCGCTCATATGAAAAGGTTAAACCGGATGAAACGGGGTCGGGCGGGATGGGTAGGATGTCAGCCGTGGCACGAGTGCACCTCGCCTGTACCACTCCTCTATCATCCCTCCCTTATTCCCTCGTCCTTGTCCTCCTCGGATATGCCTCTTCCGATCCAATCCATGTTCTATGTTTCATGCTTACTGTTCCATGTTCCATGCTCCTCCTTCTCCTTCACCTCATCCTCCTCTTCTCCTTCTTCTTCTTCCCCTCCTCCTCGTCTTTTTACTCCTCCTTCTCCTCCTCCTCTTCCTCCTCCGCCTCCTCCTCCTCCTCGTCGTTCTCCTCCTCCTCCTCCTCCTCCTCCTCCTCCTCCTCCTCCTCTATCCTCTCCCCTCTACTATTGCACACATCGGAATGCTACTCGCCTCCCTCCCCCGAAAACCCCGATGTCGTAGCCTTCCCCACTCCGCGCATGGTGTTTTACACATCGGACCCACCAGAAGAGGCCGATCATGTGTGCGTTTCCAACCCAAGCATTTTCGGAGCTTGCTGAACGGCGCTCCCGCTGCAGCGTTGGCTCCATTTTCTGGCTATCAGTCCTTCTGAAATCCTACTCCGTCTGGAGCGCTGGCCCCATTTCTTTCTTGCGGGTCGCGGGTCTTCCAAGTCGTACTCCCGCTACAACGTTGGCTCTCATTTTACGCTGCCGCTCCTTCTGGACCGCTCATGTACATTCTTCGTCTTGCGTCATGCCAAATCTCCCTCCGAACATGTTACGGTCTGCCGTGCTCTTCTACGCCGTGCTACGCCGTGCTCTACCATGCATGTCGTACCCTTTCGGGATCACTGCCCTGTTCGACATCCGCCTGCGCGAATAGAGGAGATCTACGCCATGGTATGGGATGGGAGGGGGGGGGGGGGGGGGGTAGGACGTCAGATAAGACACTTGCGCACCTAGCTTGCCTCTCCTCTCTCTCCTCTCTTCTCTCTCTTCCTCCTCCTCCTCGTTCTCCTCCTCCTCCTCCTCCTCCTCCTCCTCCTCCTCCTGAAGCGGACATGTGCAACAATTTCACAGACGGAGGGCAGATCGTTTTCAAAGTGTGGCTCTCGCCTTGGCGCCGCGCACATTTTTCTTCAAAATTCGCCGCAGTCTCATGGATGGATCGACGGTGGTTTTCAACATGTAGCTCCCACCTTGGCGCCGCCCACGCTCATCTTAAAAACACTGGCAACAAGTTTCCCGGATGGAGGGCGGGTCGTTTTCAAAATCTGGCCCTCACATCAGCGCCGAGCAAAAACGCCTTCAAAAGCTGCAACAGTTTCCCGGATGAAGGGCGGGTCGTTTTCAACATGTGGCGCTCGCCTCAGAAGATCCGAAAACATTCGTCTTCAGTGTTTGAAACAGCTTCAAGGATGGAGGGCGGTTCCTTTTCAAAATGTGGCTCTCGCCTTGGCGCCGCGCACATCATCCTCAAAGTTTGCAGCAGTGCCAAATATTCGTATGGTTGAAGTCCCTGCAATTGTGTCCTGGTGCGGTTTAGGGTAACCAGCACGCAACAGCCACGTTGACTCGATGTGCTGAAGTTCCAGGGACGGTGATCTGGCACGGTTTGAAACTGTCAGGACGCAACAATCACGTTGATTCGAAGCACTGAAATCCGAGGAATGGTGCTTTACCACGATTGGGGATTCTGATATGGTTGTCTTCCATGGGGCACATCCCTCATTGAACATGAGTTCTCGTAGGGACTGGAGGGAGGGTTGATTGCAACATCGTTATACATCCTTCGTGCGTCTTGGGTTTACACTAGCCCTCATACTCCTCTTCCTCTTCCTCCTCCCTCCCTCCCTCCCTCCTCCTCCTCCCTCCTTCCCTCCCTCCCTCCCTCTCTCCTCCTCCCTCCCTCCCTCATCCCTTCCCTCCTCCCTCCCTCCCTCCCCCCCACCCTCCCTCCCTCCCCCCCTCCTCTCTCCCTCCTCCTTCCCTCCCTCCTCCTTCCCTCCGTCCTCCTTCCCTCCATCTTCCTTCCCTCCCTCCGCCTCCCTCCCTCCCTCCCTCCCCCCCCCCCCCTCCTTCCCTCCCCCCCCCCTCCTCGTCGCCCTCCCCTCCCTCCCCTCCCTCCACCTCCTGCTCCGCCCCCCCCCTCGCCTCCTACTCCCCCTCTCTGCTCCCCCCTCGCCTCCTACTCCCCGCCCCCCCTCTCGTTCGAGGGAAAGCCGCCCCAGTCTGGCCCGCCCCCCCGAGATGGCGCGGGGCGGCCGCTGGGCGTCAGCGGCGTCGCCGCGCACCCTCTCGAGCGCGGCCTCCGCCTGCCGGGCGGGCCGCGCGAAGCAGGCTCTCCGGCTCCTGGTCCTGCTCGTGCTCCTCCTTGACAGCTCGGCTGCTCCTCCTCCTCCGCCGCCTCCTCCTCCTCCGCCTCGCACCTCCTCCTCTTCCTCCTCCGCCTCCTCCTCCTCATCGCACGTCATCGTGTTCATCGTAATCACCACCACCACCATCATCATTATGATCATGATCATGATCATGATCATGATCATCATCATCCTCATCCTCATCCTCATCCTCATCCTCATCCTCATCATCGCCACCATCATCGTCATTGTCATCGTCATCGTCATCGTCATCATCAACATCATCATCCTCATCATCATCGTCATCGTCAACATCAACCATCATCACCAGCATGATCATGATCATGACCATGGCCATCACCACAACCACCATCACCATCAACATCTCCGTCATCACCATCATCATCACAACCACCTCCGTCATCGTCATCATAACCATCATCATCATTCATTATCAACATCGCCATCAACATCACAATCACAATCATCACCATCAACATCACCAACAGCATCACAATCATCATCGTCGTCGTCATCGTTGTCGTCGTCATCGTAATGTTCATCATCACCATCACCATCACCATCACGATCATCATCACCATCCTCATCTTCATCGTCATCATCACCACAACCATCAGCATCAGCAGCCGTGGCGTCGTAAGCATCACCAACATCATGCCCATGACGATGATGATGATGATGGTGATGATGATGATGATGATGATAATCATCATCGTAGTCATCGTCATCGTCATCGTTATCGTCATCATCATCACCATCACCATCACCACCACCATCACAACAATCCCCATCCCCATCCCCATCCCCATCCCCATCATCATCATCATCATCATCATCATCATCATCATCATCATCATCATCATCATCGTCATCATCATCATCATTCTCATCGTCGTTATCGTCATCATCGTCATCTTCATCGTCATCGCATCATCATCATCATCATCATCATCACCATCGCCACCATCACCACCATCGCCCCCATCGCCCCCATCGCCCCCATCGCCCCCATCGCCCCCATCGCCACTAACACTATCATCATCATCACCATCACCATCACCATCACCATCACCATCACCATCACCATCACCATCACCATCACCATCACCACCATCACCACCATCACCACCATCACCACCATCACCACCATCATCACCATCATCACCATCATCACCATCATCACCATCACCATCACCATCACCATCACCATCACCATCACCATCATCATCATCATCATCATCATCATCATCATCATCATCATCATCATCATCATCATCATCATCATCATCATCATCATCATCATCATCATTATCATCGTCATGATCACCACCGTCATCAGCATCAGCATCATCATCACCATCACCCTCCTCGTCGTCGTCGCCAGCATCACCAACAACATCATACCCTTGCGCCTCTTTCCGCTTCATGCTGATCGCTGCTGCGCTGCCGACGCCGACACGCTTTCTCCCCCCTCATCATCTCGTGCTCCTGCGCCCGCTTCCTCTGCCGCTCCTGCTGCTCGTCCTCCTCCGCGCCGCACATCCCCCCTTCGTGAATATCGTTTCACCGATCCCCATCCCCAGCGGCGTGGCCTGGGCCCCGCTGGCCGATTTACCCCCCTAGATGGGGATATGGGTCGTTCTCTTCGGGCTTCGAGCGGTGTGTCCCCAACTGGGGTGGTAATTCGGTGGCGGCCTCGAGGGGGATGGAGATGGGGATGGGGATCGGTTAAGCGATACCGACTTCGGGTCGCCCGGCTCTGCCGCAAGGCAAGCACGCACGGCCGCCGCGCGCACTCCTCCTCCTCCTCCGAGGCGAGCGACGCGGAGGCGCGACCCTCGACGCCGGGCCGCGTGCCCGTGCCGCTCCCGTTGCCCCCCGGCCTCGTCGAGGTGCGCGGCGGCCTCCTTGGCGGCCTGGGCCTCGTCTCCTTCCCCGGCGCTCTGGAGGACCTCGCGGGAGGGGAGCGAGGAGGAGGAGGAGGAGCAGGAGGAGGAGGAGGAGGAGGAGAAGGAGGAGGAGGAGGAGAAGGAGGAGGAGGAGGAGCAGGAGGAGGAGAAGGAGGAGGAGGAGGAGGAGGAGGAGGAGGAGGAGGAGGAGGAGGAGAGGGGGACGAGGAGGAGGAGGAGGAGGAGGAGGAGGAGGAGGAGGAGGAGGAGGGGGGAGGAGGGGGGAGGAGATGGAGGAGGGGGAAGAGGAGGAGGAGGAAGAGGAGGAGGAGTTTCTCCACAACATGCCGCCCCCTCCCTGCACTGTCCCTCTCCCCCTACTCCTCGTGTGCCTGCTCGTCGTCGACGTCCGTCTCCTCCTCGTATATTCCTCGCCCTCCCTCTTCTCGTCCAAGTCCTGCAAGTGCGCCTCCGCCGCCTGCTGTTTGTGATCAGCCTCATACTGCCGTTCTTCCTCTTCCTCGTCTTCCTCCTCTTCATCATGCTCGATTGCAACATGACCAATTGACCCGGTAGAAATACTTGTCACGCAATCGCAACATACCTGAAAAGTAATAAGCCGCCCTCATGGCCCGCAAAACTCGACCTGAGACAAAGAGAGCAGCCGACATGCCGATCTAAGCAGCAATCCCTGGTATAATGTCCCTCTTGAATTTTCTACTCCCCGAACGCACAGTAAGAGTGCATGGGTTAAGACACCACTACAAACAATGCGGCAAACTATGGGGATCCCGCTGTTCTCGACCCGTGCAACGTGAACGGCAGACTGGTTTCGGGAGTTCATTGATATGTCGGGATCGGTCCAGCGCGCTCAGACCTTCGGCACAAACGCCTCTACCTTCCACTCCGCTTCCGCCTTTTACACCTTCTCTTCCTCCTCTTCCTCCCTCATTTGACGGTACACCCCTGCTGTAAAACGGACGGACGGCTCGGAGAAAACTGCGCACGGAAATTTCGCTCCTCCCATAAAATCTGGCGCGGGATTCCACGAACGAGGGCGGGGCGCAATTTCGCCCGTGGGCCCAGGCCCTGCCGCCGCCGTCGCCGTTGCCGCCGTCGTCGTCACCGTCGGCGCAGACGCCGCAATCGTCGTCGCCGTCGCCGTCGTCGTCGCCGCGACGCCCGCGCATTCACGTTATTACCAGTGGCGGGTCGCGCGCGACAGCGCGCGCCATTGCGCTCGCATTTTCGTTCCTCCGACGTGGGCCTAGGCGGACATCGTGTTTTTCCTTCCACTCACAGCCTTTTTAAGTAATAGTTGGGAACGTACGCCTCTGACAAACGTACCGACAAGCGCCGCACTTGTCTACACGAACATCGCAGAGGGACTGGCGCCTTGTCCTAGCCAGCTCAGCTGAAGGGAGACTGGCTCGTCGTCGGCCTCCTTCTCCTCCTCCTCCTCCTCCTCTTCCTCCCCTCCTTCTTCCCTCCCTCCCCTCCGCCAGAGATGTCAACCATTGCCTATCCTGCAAATCCGCCACCGTGCCGCTGGGCGCGGAGTGGGCATCCTCGGGCCCTTAGCCCGTCGTTCAAGGAACCCGAATCCCAAATCCCACCAACCCTCTGGGCGTAGGTGGTCTAGGGTGTTTCCTCTTCCGCCCCCTTCTTCCCCTTCGGGGACGGGTTTATCACTGTTCCTTATTTATAAACACCCCCTCCCCCAGGCGACTGGTAGCCAACCAGGAACCATGAGAGCCCCCCCCCCCACCATCCTTTGTAAAAAACCATACAGACCACACTGCCTCCAAATTCGGAGCATGCGCAGCCAACCCGATGCGGCCTCCCCCCACCATCCCTGTCAAAAAACAATACATAATACACTTGGCGGCGGCGGTTGCGGCTGCGGCGGCGGCGGCGGCGGCTGCGGCGGCGGCGGCGGCGGCGGCGGTGGCGGCGACGGTGGCGGCGCGGCGGCGGTGGCGGCAGCGGCTGCGGCGGCAGCGGCTGCGGCGATTCCGCAGCGATGGCGGCGGCGGCGGCGGCGGGCGGCGGGCAGCGCGGGGGCGGCCGCGTCGGCGGCGGCGGCGGCGGATTGGCCCCCAGTAGCTGCCCATCCAAAGACGACTGCTGAATATGCTGAGGCTCGGGCCAGACTCGGGTGCTACGTATGTGTTGGGAGGGCGGGTGGGAGTGAGCGAGACGGCTCGGGGGCGGGGAGGGAACCTTGACCCCTCCCCCTGCCCCTTCCCCTGAACCTGGACGGGGCGTTCCGCGAGCGGTCGGAGCGTCTAACATGGCCCAAGTTGGCTCCAAGAGGGCCTCAGAAAGCTCAAGGTGGCCTCGGAGACGGCTCAAGACAGCGCAAGATGCCTCGACGTGGCCCCCAAGATGCTCCAAGAAGCCCCAAGACCGCTTCAAGACGGCTGCAAGCGGCCAAAAGAGCTCCCCAAGGAGGCCCCGAGGAAAATAAAATCCTTCAAACACCTAGGACAAATCAATGTTTTTGGATTTCCCGCCATTTCGCTTCCGATGGCCTTCCGAGGCTTCAAGATGACTCCAACATAGCCCAAGAGGGCCCCATGAGGGGCCCAAGAGAGCCCCAAGACGACCCCAAGAGCGCTCCATGATGCGGCGACTTTAGGGGCTCCCGAAGGGCAAGGCTAATTAAGGACCCCCCCTTGTTTGATCGATGTCATCCAAAATGGCTCCAAAAGCGTTCCTAAGGCTCCGAAATGCGTCAGAAGGGGGCCGAAAGAGGCGCCCAGACGGCCCCAAGAGGAGTCCAAGACGCCTCCAAGAGGCTCACGAGAGACCCCCAAGAGGCCTCAAGAGGATCCCTGAGGCACCCCAGACGCTCAAAGACCCCCCTGGGCCCGCCAAGAAGCCCCCCAGACGCCCCAAGAAGCCTCCAAAAAAAGATCGTCCCAAGACCCCCTTTGGGGCGCCTCTAGGGCCGTCTTGGGACGATCTTTGGGGCCTCTTGGGCCGAGTGGGGCCCTTCTGGGACGGAAAAGGGGGGAACCCGAAAAGCCTGCAAAAACCATAGGGAGATCAATATTTTTGGCCTCCTGAGGCCCTCTTGGGGTCCCTCTTGAGGGCCTCTGGAGCCGTCTCGAGACTCTCTTGGACTGTCTAGCGGCCATCTGAAGCTCTCTTGGGGCCGTCTTGGGGCCCTCTGGCCGGCTCACCCGAACAAACACAAAGAAATGGGCCATGGGAGCCGCCCGGGAGCCGCTTCACTCGAAAAAAAACAAGAAGGAAACAAGCCATTACCACCGCCACACTCGCGCCTCCACGGCCCCCCCCTGCACTCCCCCGAAGGAGGGCCTCGCCCCTGCTCAGCGTCACTCGCTTGTACCTCGCTCTTTCCGTCACCTGGGCCGCTCTGGGGAGCCTCGGTGTGAAGGGCTTAATTACGTCGCCGCTCTCTGCTGGGAGCCCTGGTGTTCAGAGACTTTTACGCTGCAACTCGCTCTTGGGAGCCTTGGTGTGACGATCTTTGTACGTCACCGCGCTCTGGGGAGCCTTGGTGTCAAGAGCTTGTTACGTCACCGCTCACTGATGGGAGCCATGGTGTTCTTGAGCATCTCTTGGGCCTCGTCGGGGTCTTATTGGAGCCCTTTTGGAGCCCTTTGGGGGCAATTTTGGGCCGTCTCGGGGTCCTTGTGGGCTGTCTTGGAGGCCTTTGGCCGCCTTGGGGCTCTCTTGGGGGCCTCTTGGGGCCCTCTTGGGAGCCTTTTTGGGCCCTCTTGGGGTTCTCTTGGGGCTGTCTTAGGGTTCTCTTAGGCCGTCTTGGGGTTCATTTTGGGCTGTTTTGGGTCCCTCTGACTCTGGGGCCGTCTCGGGGTCCTATTTCTTGGACCGTTTTCGAGCCCCTTCGGGGGCCTCTTGGGTCGTTTTGGGACGATCTTTGGAGCCTCGTGGGCCGTCTTGGACCGTTCTTGGTCCGAAACGGCAAGAACCCCAAAAACCTGCAAACACCATATTCGCCGGCCCAACGGACCAGAGGCGTGCTAAGATCTCTGGTAACTACTTAACAATATTTCTAGTT